CGTTGCTATGGGTTAACTGTCAGTTGCCATGCCTTTACATGTGTTGTTATGGGTTAACTGTCCGTTGCCATGGGTTAACTGTCCGTTGCCATGCGTTAACTGTCCGTTGCCATGGGTTATCTGTCCGTTGCCATGCATTTACATGCGTTGTTATGGGTTAACTGTCCGTTGCCATGCGTTTACATGCGTTGTTATGGGTTAACTGTCCGTTGCCATGCGTTTACATGCGTTGTTATGGGTTAACTGTCCCATGGTTACCATGGCAACGGACCGGTTACCATGGCAACGGACCGGTAACCCATGGCAACGGACAGTTAACCCATAACAACGCATGTAAACGCATGGCAACGGACAGTTAACCCATAACAACGCATGTAAACGCATGGCAACGGACAGATAACCCATGGCAACGGACAGTTAACCCATAACAACGCATGTAAACGCATGGCAACGGACAGTTAACCCATAACAACGCATGTAAACGCATGGCAACGGACAGATAACCCATGGCAACGGACAGTTAACCCATAACAACGCATGTAAACGCATGGCAACGGACAGTTAACGCATGGCAACGGACAGTTAACCCATGGCAATGGACAGTTAACCCATAACAACGCATGTAAACGCATGGCAACGGACAGTTAACCCATAACAACACATGTAAACGCATGGCAACGGACAGTTAACCCATGGCAACGGACAGTTAACCCATGGCAACGGTCAGGTAACCCATGGCAACGGACCGGTTACCATGGCAACGGACCGGTTACCATGGCAACGGACCGGTTACCATGGCAACGGACCAGTAACCCATGGCAACGGACAGTTAAAACATAACAACGCATGTAAACGCATGGCAACGGACAGTTAACGCATGGCAACGGACAGTTAACCCATAACAACGCATGTAAACGCATGGCAACGGACAGTTAACCCATAACAACACATGTAAACGCATGGCAACGGACAGTTAACCCATGGCAACGGACAGTTAACCCATGGCAACGGACCGGTTACCATGGCAACGGACCGGTTACCATGGCAACGGACCGGTAACCCATGGCAACGGACAGTTAAAACATAACAACGCATGTAAACGCATGGCAACGGACAGTTAACGCATGGCAACGGACAGTTAACCCATAACAACGCATGTAAACGCATGGCAACGGACAGTTAACCCATAACAACACATGTAAACACATGGCAACGGACAGTTAACGCATGGCAACGGACAGTTAACCCATGGCAACGGACAGTTAACCCATAACAACGCATGTAAACGCATGGCAACGGACAGTTAACCCATGGCAACGGTCAGGTAACCCATGGCAACGGACCGGTTACCATGGCAATGGACCGGTTACCATGGCAACGGACCGGTAACCCATGGCAACGGACAGTTAAAACATAACAACGCATGTAAACGCATGGCAACGGACAGTTAACCCATGGCAACGGACAGTTAACCCATAACAACGCATGTAAACGCATGGCAACGGACATTTAACCCATAACAACACATGTAAACGCATGGCAACGGACAGTTAACGCATGGCAACGGACAGTTAACCCATGGCAACGGACAGTTAACCCATAACAACGCATGTAAACGCATGGCAACGGACAGTTAACCCATAACAACACATGTAAACGCATGGCAACGGACAGTTAACCCATAACAACACATGTAAACGCATGGCAACGGACAGTTAACCCATGGCAACGGACAGTTAACCCATGGCAACGGTCAGGTAACCCATGGCAACGGACCGGTTACCATGGCAACGGACCGGTAACCCATGGCAACGGACAGTTAACCCATGGCAACGGACCGGTTACCATGGCAACGGACCGGTTACCATGGCAACGGACAGTTAAAACATAACAACGCATGTAAACGCATGGCAACGGACAGTTAACGCATGGCAACGGACAGTTAACCCATAACAACGCATGTAAACGCATGGCAACGGACAGTTAACCCATGGCAACGGACAGTTAACCCATGGCAACGGTCAGGTAACCCATGGCAACGGACCGGTTACCATGGCAACGGACCGGTTACCATGGCAACGGACCGGTAACCCATGGCAACGGACAGTTAAAACATAACAACGCATGTAAACGCATGGCAACGGACAGTTAACGCATGGCAACGGACAGTTAACCCATAACAACGCATGTAAACGCATGGCAACGGACAGTTAACCCATAACAACGCATGTAAACGCATGGCAACGGACAGTTAACCCATAACAACACATGTAAACGCATGGCAACGGACAGTTAACCCATGGCAACGGACAGTTAACCCATGGCAACGGTCAGGTAACCCATGGCAACGGACCGGTTACCATGGCAACGGACCGGTTACCATGGCAACGGACCGGTAACCCATGGCAACGGACAGTTAAAACATAACAACGCATGTAAACGCATGGCAACGGACAGTTAACGCATGGCAACGGACAGTTAACCCATAACAACGCATGTAAACGCATGGCAACGGACAGTTAACCCATAACAACACATGTAAACGCATGGCAACGGACAGTTAACGCATGGCAACGGACAGTTAACCCATGGCAACGGTCAGGTAACCATGGCAACGGACCGGTAACCCATGGCAACGGACCGGTTACCATGGCAACGGACCGGTAACCCATGGCAACGGACAGTTAAAACATAACAACGCATGTTAACGCATGGCAACGGACAGTTAACCCATAACAACACATGTAAACGCATGGCAACGGACAGTTAACCCATGACAACGGACAGTTAACCCATGGCAACGGTCAGGTAACCCATGGCAACGGACCGGTTACCATAGCAACGGACCGGTTACCATGGCAACGGACCGGTTACCATGGCAACGGACCGGTAACCCATGGCAACGGACAGTTAAAACATAACAACGCATGTAAACGCATGGCAACGGACAGTTAACGCATGGCAACGGACAGTTAACCCATGGCAACGGTCATATAACCCATGGCAACGGACAGTTAACCCATAACAACGCATGTAAACGCATGGCAACGGACAGTTAACCCATAACAACGCATGTAAACGCATGGCAACGGACAGTTAACCCATAACAACGCATGTAAACGCATGGCAACGGACAGATAACCCATGGCAACGGACAGTTAAAGCATGGCAACGGACAGTTAACCCATGGCAACGGACAGTTAACCCATAACAACGCATGTTAACGCATGGCAACGGACAGTTAACCCATAACAACACATGTAAACGCATGGCAACGGACAGTTAACCCATGGCAACGGACAGTTAACCCATGGCAACGGTCAGGTAACCCATGGCAACGGACCGGTTAAAATAGCAACGGACCGGTTACCATGGCAACGGACCGGTTACCATGGCAACGGACCGGTAACCCATGGCAACGGACAGTTAAAACATAACAACGCATGTAAACGCATGGCAACGGACAGTTAACGCATGGCAGCGGACAGTTAACCCATAACAACGCATGTAAACGCATGGCAACGGACAGTTAACCCATAACAACACATGTAAACGCATGGCAACGGACAGTTAACGCATGGCAACGGACAGTTAACCCATGGCAACGGACAGTTAACCCATAACAACGCATATAAACGCATGGCAACGGACAGTTAACCCATAACAACGCATGTAAACGCATGGCAACGGACAGTTAACCCATAACAACACATGTAAACGCATGGCAACGGACAGTTAACCCATGGCAACGGACAGTTAACCCATGGCAACGGTCAGGTAACCCATGGCAACGGACCGGTTACCATGGCAACGGACCGGTTACCATGGCAACGGACCGGTAACCCATGGCAACGGACAGTTAAAACATAACAACGCATGTAAACGCATGGCAACGGACAGTTAACCCATAACAACACATGTAAACGCATGGCAACGGACAGTTAACCCATGGCAACGGACAGTTAACCCATGGCAACGGTCAGGTAACCCATGGCAACGGACCGGTTACCATGGCAACGGACCGGTTACCATGGCAACGGACCGGTAACCCATGGCAACGGACAGTTAAAACATAACAACGCATGTAAACGCATGGCAACGGACAGTTAACGCATGGCAACGGACAGTTAACCCATAACAACACATGTAAACGCATGGCAACGGACAGTTAACCCATAACAACACATGTAAACGCATGGCAACGGACAGTTAACGCATGGCAACGGACAGTTAACCCATGGCAACGGTCAGGTAACCCATGGCAACGGACCGGTTACCATGGCAACGGACCGGTAACCCATGGCAACGGACCGGTTACCATGGCAACGGACCGGTAACCCATGGCAACGGACAGTTAACCCATAACAACGCATGTAAACGCATGGCAACGGACAGTTAACGCATGGCAACGGACAGTTAACCCATGGCAACGGTCATATAACCCATGGCAACGGACAGTTAACCCATAACAACGCATGTAAACGCATGGCAACGGACAATTAACCCATAACAACACATGTAAACGCATGGCAACGGACAGTTAACGCATGGCAACGGACAGTTAACCCATGGCAACGGTCAGGTAACCATGGCAACGGACCGGTTACCATGGCAACGGACCGGTTACCATGGCAACGGACCGGTAACCCATGGCAACGGACCGGTAACCCATAACAACGCATGTAAACGCATGGCAACGGACAGTTAACCCATAACAACGCATGTAAACGCATGGCAACGGACAGTTAACCCATAACAACGCATGTAAACGCATGGCAACGGACAGGTAACCCATGGCAACGGACCGGTTACCATGGCAACGGACCGGTAACCCATGGCATCCTCACCCCTTCCTGTTACGTGTTGCATGTTGTCCATTGTTTATTTACCTCTCACCAGTCGGCAGCGTCCGCCATGTTTGTCTGTGCTAAATGTCACCTGCGGTGTGCTCAACAGCTATTTGGTCAACAGGCTCTAGAAGAAACCAGAATCAAACTTACGTGAACACAGTCTGTATCCACACTTTTGTTTCCTCTGTGACAGCCATCCTGTTTGGTAATCTGCAAACTCAAGAGCTTGTTGACCACTGTATCGTAACCAGAGTGGTTACTTTGTAACGTCCTCATTGTTTAGTGTTACTGATTTGCCAAAATCACCGTCTCAAAGCCTTGAATTTCTCCGTTTTGAAGCACAACTTCTAGCAGTTGAAATACAAGGCTATGGGAATGTGGCATTCCTGCCACATTTGCTAATTTTGTAGCTCTTATGGACAATTTCAGCTTTAACCCAAAGTTTTAACTGCACAAGTGTTTCCAGATTTTCTGGATTTGAAAATTATAACAATAAACACTCAGTTGTCAGTTTATTAGGGAGCTCAAACTAATGCAGACTAACAACAGTCCTGCAATAAAGGCAACTTTTCATAGTTTCATCTTCATTGTAAAAAAGAGGAAGTGTTTGTGGTGCTGTTTTCATGTACTGCATTATACAGTAAGGTGTTCCTATTTGCTTTTCTTTTTTTTAGCTTAACCTCATTTACAGAAATGAGGGAACAACTGATATAAATTAGGTGTACCTAATAAAGTGAGAACTGAGTGTACATCCTCTGCTCTTCTTGCTTAAAAACACTCTTAAGAAATTGAGATGTAAACAGAAGCAAATGTCCAGATTGACCTCTTGGTCGTCTAACATGTGTGTCCCCCTGTCTCTCACCCCCCCTCTCCATGCCTACTCACAGATCTCCGAAACCAGCCTTTCCTGCGAGCGGACGCGTTGATCCGGAGCGGTTGGAAGAGACCCTAAACCACTTATTCGTCACTTATAGTCCCCTCCCTATTGTAACCCTTCCCTTTGTCCCAGTGGCGCATCTCAACCCTGAGGCTGCAGATCACAAAGACTGAAAAGCGAGGACAGGACAAAGCCCTTGTTTTAGCCAACATTTAAATATTAAATTAGCAATAGCTATGTGCAGTACATCAATATCATGTTTTATATTTGGACTATATTAAACTGCACTGTCCCTTTTAAATAAAGAATTATTATTATATTAAGATCTGATTTGTTTCTTAATAACATGTCTGGATAAATGATAACACACACTGTTACATGTAACAAGTGTAGAACACAGGACTGACTAGATCATCAAGGCCACACTTGCTGTTTGCAGTTTGATTTGTGAAGTGATCACAATGATGTAAAGCGTTGTCCATAATTATAATGACATTCACCTCCTCAAATGCTTCCAAAGATGAGTCAGTCCCAAAGACTTCCATGTAAAATACATCATTTTACAGCAAAAATAATTATTACACATTACTAACCGTTAAGGTTGAATGTTATTTATGGTCACCTTTGAGTGACAACTAGGAGCTTTTTTCTCGTGTTCAGCATTAAATAATAAAACACTCCAAGGTTAAGTGTTTTTATCTTTTATATATGTGACACAGTCATGCTGTATTATTATTTATCACGTCAATACTTATTCAAGTTGTCATTATACGATTATGCAGTTATATGCATTATGTATTATACAACCATCATTATACGACATGGTTTGCAGAAAGCAGAGGTGTCAAACATGAGGCTCTAAGGCTTTACAGCAGTCTAAACAACCTAAGTGGTGACGTATTGTGCATCTTTCTAAATAAATTGTGGTGATCAAGTTCATAAGGAAAAGCATCTGTGGTTGAAATTTGAAAATTTCAAAGTTGCAAAGCTTCCTGGGGCTCTTCTGCACTGAATGTTCTCCCAGTGTTTGAGCGTGTTCTCCAGGAGCGTTGGTTTTTCCTGCCATTGAAAAACCTTGCTGCCTGTTGATGCCAAGTTCATTCTCACAAAAGAGTCTTAATCTTAGGCATTTCACTTCCTGGTTAAAATAAGATTTTAAAAAAATATAAACACTGCTCTGCATGTTAATGAAGCATTTAAACTACAGGAGAAACCACTTTAGAAAAGAAGAGTACATTAGCTTTAGCTAAATTAATCTCAGTTCATCTTTTTAGGCTTTATGGAAGAGGTAGATGTGTAAAAGTCAAATTGTGGCATTAACTTGATTAAAATATGTGGTTACAAGATTAGTTCATGCATTACTGCAGTCATTATCCAAATAATCTACAGATCATAACGTAGACACAACACAGACACTACCTTTTCCCAGAACAACAACCTTGTTTGTCCTTGTTTCCTTACTTTCCTTACTTATTCTTTTTTTTCCTTACTGTAATCTGGAGCACTGTAACCAAAATAATTTCCCCTACGGATCAATAAAGTATTCTGATTCTGATGATTCTGATTACAATTACCTTTTATTCACATTTTAAACTCATTGGCCCTTTAGTAGCTGTGCTAGAAAGTGCTTGTGAACTATGTGTTAGTTTACCAACATTTACTAACCTTTATACAGGACAGAACTGGGAGCGTGAACTTGTGTTTAAAGTTGTAAGAGGTAAAAGTGAGGACTTGTTGGGTCATATTAGATGTAAATGGGGTATTTACACTGATATATTTTGCTTTCAGTGTCTTACCTGACTAAAGTCTTGTTCAGCAGTTGGGTTAGGTTGTGACTTCTCTAGATCTCAAGAACTTCTCTGGGGGGGAGGGGGGTATAATGGGCTTGCTAGGCCAGCCTTAATCTGTCCTAATGCCCTGATTCAGGTGCCAACATGGCTATCAGCATAGCCACGTGTCCTCACAGTCAGGCTAATCAGCAGAGCCACACCCTTTAAGCCCTAAGTTAAAAGATTAGCACAGCTGAAGGGATGAAGGTTTTTCCACATGGAGGGACGGACAACATTTAGAGTTAGTTCAGAAGCTGGAATGAGCCCACAGGTGCTGCAAGACTCTGTGTGTATCGACAGAAGTGTTCCTTTATGGATCCTAATGGAATAATAATGAATTGTAATTGCAAAGAGCCTCTCTCTGGGTCTTGATGCATTTTTAGTATTGACCCGTCTGCGCTGAAGCATGAAGACCTTGCATTCCATATTGATTTGCCTTTTACAAGGAGAACCAGTGGTGTGATGTATTTTTCTCGCAGTTTTCTGCCATTAAAATGTATTATTACATAGGCCACGGATGAATACTCATAACACACATTGACAGGATCCAACCTCACTCAGCCAAACCACCTGACTCTAACCGCTAGAGACAACAGGTTAATGTCCCGGCACTCAGCGGGGCTGAGTGCAGAGATAAAGTGTACGAGTGCGTAAGAGAGAGACAGATACGGGGAGAAAAAAGAGATTAAGACTACCTGGAAAGCCTGTCCTCATTTCCGCAGGCTTTCAGACACATCTGCTAGCATTGTTTAACATCCCATTGTAAAGAGAGACGGATTATTGCTCCCCTTTGCCTCTGAGAGGAGGGGAGACAGTGTAACGACATGGACGTTATCCCAGATAAATCTGTTATCCAGGGTTTGTGCAGGGATACTCTCTGCAAGGGGATTAAAGACAGAGAGAAAGCATAGCAATATGAGAGTAATCCCATCCAGTTTTCTCTTTCACCTTTTATAAAACCTGCTGTCATCAAAAGGACTTCTCTTCACAAAATTGTTTCCGCAAGTGTGTTTTTATATGATTTACAAGCTCATTTTGAGGCTCAGAGACGGCCTCTGCAACTAATGGACGAATCATTGTTGTGAAAGCTGTTTCGTTTTTTCATTCCACGGCTTACAATGAAAGAAAATGAATCCAAAGCATTGCTCATATGGATTTGCCCGAATAATTATGCATTCTGTCCAACTTCAGGCTTTTGCTTGATTACAATAAGAAAGAACATTTTCATGGCTATAAAGTGATTTGCAGTTTTGCACCGTTTCAGGATTGTGTCCAATTTAAACAATAGGGCTTTTTATTCATATTCATTATCATTTGTTTATTTGACCCATTAGCTATCCATCTGACAGTGTTTTTCTCATACAATAAATGGAAGGTGCTGTATATATATATATATATATATATATATATATATCCCTATTTAAGTGCTGGATCACCAAAGCAGGGTATGTTGAGGAAAAAGTAATCATGCACGGCTGAAAAAGGGATTAACTTTTTCCCTCTTGCATTTCATACCACTAGATTAGTGCTACCTTTAACCTCTGATTTCAATCGGGATTAGATGCTTAGTGTAGTTACCAGCCTTTCGTCAGTTTAAGTGTTGATTCACAGAAACTTTGCAATCATGACCAGATATCAGATGATTAATTTGTAGGACAAAGCAGGTGCTTGTCTCAGATTTGTCGCAGTTTGACAGCTAAGTTACTTTTCACCAGCGTCAGCTTCCTGAGTTTAATGTTCTGGTTTTCAAATGTCATTATAGCTTCAGGCATTATTCAATACTCAATAGTACCCATTCAATGTCATCCCCATTTCCGTACTTACATACAAATACTGTCCATCCCTTCCCCCGCTTCCTTCCCCCAAGTCTGGTCCTGAAGGCAGCAACTAGCCGTGGACTGATTACCTTGTTCATTTAGTTGGTTCCTTGGGGGCCTCCATCTCATTGGCAAGTTCCAATAAGATCAAGGCCCCAGTGTGTTTGTGTGAGTGTGTATGTGTCTATGTATTTAATTAAGAATAAAGGCCATTACTGAATTTCCTGGATCCAAACATGCCGTGTAACGTACATACATTCATTCACTGAAGATTTGTCCTCAAAAATGCACTGTGAGCGAAACGAAATCAGCACCAACCAATGATGAGCTCGTCTTTCTAACAAAGAAAAGGAAAGAATGGATGACCTGGGTTTATTCAATCCTCACGAATTCTTACTGAAGGAGTTGAAGCTGTATCATGAATGCAGTGGTCTGATTGATCAAGTTTGTTTATTCGGGTCTGAATATCTAAAAATCTAGCTTGGATAGCAAATGCAGGCAGTGAAATTATGTGAGCCTGAAAAAAAAGAAAATGTTTGTACAGAACTGGCCAGAAACCTGATACAGATTTAATAGTAGAAATACATCTCACATTCAACAAGCGACACAAGAGCTAGCACAAATAATAATGCAATGATTATAGAATATTATGATAGATAGATAGATAGATAGATAGATAGATAGATAGATAGATAGATAGATAGATAGATAGATAGATAGATAGATAGATAGATAGATAGAATTGCACCGTCCATATTATAGATAGATAGATAGATAGATAGATAGATAGATAGATAGATAGATAGATAGATAGATAGATAGATAGATAGATAGATAGATAGATAGATAGATAGATAGATAGATAGATAGAATTGCACCGTCCATATTATAGATAGATAGATAGATAGATAGATAGATAGATAGATAGATAGATAGATAGATAGATAGATAGATAGATAGATAGATAGATAGATAGATAGATAGATAGAATTGCACCGTCCATATTATTTATATATATATATATATATATATATACACACAC